AATTAATCACTTTTGTTCATCTGTGTTTTGTTTTTCAGAATGAAGTGATGGAGGCTGCTCTATGTCAGAAAGCTATGCTCCACTGAGTTTTGGAGTGGGAGAGAATTCATTCTGTGTCAGGACAGGAGGATGGAGCTGTCCTTCCTCCAGATTCTGCATGGTGATAGGATCCGTCTCTGCCCAGCAAGGCACCTGGGAGGCCACTCCAGCTGGCCCCAGTCTTGACAAAGCAGGGTGCCAGGCAGATGGGGGAGATGGAGTGAGGCAGGCCCAGTGGGAAAGCCCTGTATCCTTGAGAAACCGGTTGACTCTATGCCCTTCCTGGTCTTAGGCAGGATTCTGGTCACCTGTGCTGGTGGACAGGGACAGTAGAGAGTCAGAAGAGAGAGAAGCAAGCCAATTCCTCACTAACATCCCTCCATCCCTCCATCCTTCTCCTCTCTCTCTCTCTCTCTCTCTCTCTCTCTCTCTCTCTCTCTCTCTCTCTCTCTGTGTGTGTCTTTTGTGGTACTCAGGATCTAACCCAGGGGGTCTACCACTGACATGTATTACCATCCCTTCCAACTTCTCAAATAAATGTATGAAAAGATGTTCACAATTATTGGTCATTCAAGAAAGGCAAATTAAAACAACACTGAAATCCATCTCACCACAGAAAAAACTGGTTATCATCAAGAGGTCAACCAATAACAAATATTGGAAGGGCTGTGGGGAAAAAGGAACTCTTCTCCACTGATGGTGGTAGTGTAGACTTGTACAACCATTGTGGAAATCAGTGTGGAGATTCCTCAGAAAGCTAGGCTTGGGGATTCCATTCAACCCAGCTATTCCCCTCCTGGGTATTTTTCCAGAAGAACTGAAAACATTATACTACAGAAATATATGTGCACCCATATTTATAGCAGTGCAGTTTGTAATAGATAAATCTTGGAAACAACACAAATACCCATCAACTGAGGCATGGAGAAAAAAGATATGGTATTTTTACATAGTGGAATATTGCTCAGCTATAAAAAATGTTAAAATAGAGGCTTTCATAGGTAAATGGATGTAACTAGAGATCATATTTATAAGTGAAATAAATGAGACCTGCATGTGTAAATATCATATTGTCTCCCTAGTGTAAGAACCTGAAAGAGTAAAATCTGAAAGGTACAATAGATATTGTGAAAAGGCAAAGAAACTGTTCAAAGGGGAGAAACAACTAGGATGAAGAAAAGACAGAAGGCAGAGGAAAGGACATACTTATGTATTCATACCAAGATAGCTTGGTAGTTATACTATTGATTTGTGCTGGTCTGTTGAAGGGAGCAGTTAATGCTTAATTTTCTTCTTCTCCTTTTTGGTTTCTTATAACTTTTTTAAAAACCAGTTTTGCATGCTTATATGTGGTAATCTAAACAACTAATTTGAAATCAACATTTTGCAATGTAGCAACCATTGTTGAATTCCTCTTATTTTGTTTAGTGAAATTCTGTATTGTTTCTAATATTTACTGTTTTTATATTCTCTCTCTCTCTCTGTCT